AAAGTGAAATAGGAATAGTATGTTGTACTGACAAATGCTTAGTTAGTATAGTTTACTTACACGAGAGTTCTAGTAACTAAAAAAGAACTGTAGCGGGTACTTGATCCTTTTATTAAGGTTTACTCATGACTTAGTATAGCTACTCACTGACTCCCAGAGTGCATTGCGGCTGAATAAATTATGCAGTTGCTTTGTTTTACAGTTGTTGATTTTATTTGCTGTCTTGTGTCAGTAGTAGCACAACAAAAAGAGCAAATAAAATGGTTATTGTTACAATTAATGAAAATAAATGAAATGTAATTGTTACCATTGTTGTGATTCACATGCTGAATGTTTAAGTCTGTGTGTGACTTTAGCATATTACCACACACTAATTAAGGATTATATAAACCCAATTAAAAGCATCTCACGGTATTTATGAAAAATGAAATTTGAAAAAGTTCATTAATAAACTCACACAAAAAATATACATTAATGCTTTAATTAGAAGATTTGTCACCTTCTAAAGGCAACCTATTTATTACTTTTCTTCCTTTGAAATCAAATAGCTCTGACATGATGCATTGCTGCATGAACAGAAAGATAATTATAGTAACATAAATGAAGTTCCAAGTGCCCAACCAAAGGGAACGCTAATCACTATAATGGTGAGTTAAAAAAAACACACATTTTAGGAAAATCAACATCAATTTATGAAGTTAGCTTATGTGATGTTCTCTCAAATATTTCAGTTGTATTGAGAATTCAGCATTCGAGATGACTTTGGGAAACGAGTGAATGCAACTAGTGAAAGATAACTGCAGACATGGAGGAAATGGGTGAAAAGTCTATTAAGACTCTTTTTCTTTTCTTCTTCTGTTGTTGCACTTTAGCAACATATTAGTGCACTGGTTTATTAATGTCATTGGTTCCTTTGTGGCTACTTGAACATTTTAAGTAAGTGTCACTCAAAACATTAAGTAAATTGTTTTATTTGCCTTGAAAGTAGCTGTAACTTAATAACCTAGTAAGTATAACAACTAAGTAAAGATAACGAATTAAATCTAAGTAAGGTAAACTATTGGATTTTACAGTGTATATAGATTTGTATATTTCAGAAATTCACCAAAAATACACAAAATTATATTTCCAGAATCCAACCAAGCTAATAACAATTGCCTATGAAAAAGGGATAATTTGATAGGGATATAATTACACATTAATAAGAAACTTAAACCTCCTAGTTTGGAAAAAAACAACATTAGGGATCAGATTCCTTATAGATGAGGGCTTATTAATACAGTTCTTTATCCAATTTATATTAAAGGTATGATGTGTGACAGGATTGTGTGACGAAAGGACACACATGCAGCACTGCGCAGATCGATCGCAATTTGACTTGAAGCAGTGCATGCCAGTTAGTAATTTTGTCCGACTTGAGACGGCACCGACGCCATGTCACTATCACGTGTGGCATCAAAGCACCGCGAGAGCGTTTCGAGAGTTTTCTCCAGAGCGGCTGCAGGAGAGTTGATGACGACACAGCCATTTCACGATTGGCCAGATTCTCCACATGACAACTATCACGCGTGTTTCGGGTTTATTCTAACCTTTTCAATTCCAATAATAGCCACAAATCTGTGTTTTTAGAACAATAAAAGCTTTTTTACTGTAGTCGCAATGTTATATTGAGTCACGTTTATCATAAAACACTGATGAAAGCATACATTCCCCCACTTTATTAGTATTTAAATAGTATATATTTACGTTGAACTTTATTCTTGAACAGATGGCGATGTATTAAGACGTATATAATCAGTATATATCTGTTGCTCATGAAAACGTTTCTGAAACGTCTGTATATTTGACAAATAATTGCATTTAATTCACTTCATCTGTGATAGAGTATGCAAACACCGCGCGAGCATCACTAACGGGAGCAGAAAGTGTCCGGCTTGACACCTCCGTTTTCAACTCCGCCCCTGACTGCAAGCGGCTACTCTCGTTGACTGCCGTCTGTAGCCGTGCTTCGAGTCGAATGCACCTGATATTACAACTGGTGTGACATCATTGGGTCACATGACCAGGAAGTTATATAGATTTGAATAATTGAAAAATTCACCAAAACTGCACAATTATATTTCCAAAATCCATGTATGATGTGAAGTGTTTCTGAATATATTACAGGTGCCATAGCAACGCCTGTTTCTACCAGTTAAAATAAATCGTTTGGAGTACAATGTAATAACAATGTAACAATTCATAGTGAATATCGCATTCACAGCTTAAAATGATGTATTGTTTTTTTCACTTAATTCACATCTTTATATTTTATTTGCATGATGCATTGCATGTTTCAATCTTGGAATGCATATCTTTTTTTTTTTAATTATTTTTATGCACTTTTGATACAGTCCCTTAATTTGCTCAGTGAATGTCTAACGAACGTCCAACATAAAACCAACATTACCGCACCTGGTTATGTATACATGAAACCATGTGCATTTATACCATATGTTTAAAACGTCTATTGCTGTTTGCACTATTGGATGCTGATTTGATGCCTCTCATGACAATAAAGTGTAATCAATCTAATCTAGATAATGTGAAGGTGTGTTTTGGAAATATGTTCATCAAATTCCCTCAAGAGAGTACCAGATCCATGATCCTTAAAGGTGAGTGTGCCGCCTTCAGCCATATTTTGTCCAAATAATACATTTAGACTAGTCTCTGTGTTTTCTTGGCCTCTTGCTGTTATATTGTTCCCAACAGACCATGAGCAGCTTGACAAGGAAATAACTGACCTCCGCAAACGATTAAAAACAAAAATAAATCGTCTCAATGACTTGCAAGGTAGAGCTGCTTTATCTGCCTGATTCATTCATAATTTGTCACATATAAAATATCATCTTTAAGTCCGTGTGTAGTAAATATCTATAGCCCCTAATTACCCTATATTTACTGGCAGTGTCATACAATGTTAGTAGATATCAGTGCATCTAATCTTTTCTGCTTCGAATTGTTTCTTGCACAGGTAAGCCTGAACTCAGAGGATACAACCTTTCTCCTCTGAGCAGTGATGAGATTAAAGCAATTAACAACCTCCTTAAGAAATAATATCCACTAGCTTCTCGGACTGTCTTGAACCTGAGGGTAATGTTTGGACTGGACTGTTACCTGTGCGTCGGAGCACTGAAGTGTCTGCAAACCGCCTGTGACTTTACTAACTCAGCAGAAGAACTTTTTTCAGTTGACTTTTGGTGACTAGCTCACACAATGTGTCTTTTCATCATTCAGTGCTTTTACATGGCATTTGTTTAAAAGTCTTGCCTGCGTTTTGTGGTGTGAGAAACACAATTGTTGAAGAGAGTAAGCCAAAAATAATGCTAAAATGCTTGGGTGGGTATTAACACAACATGTAGCTTGTATGTTGTTACTTTCACAGGTTCTGTTATTAATGGCAAGCAAACACAATTGTTGAACTTTCGAATTCAATGAAGTGTCTGTCAAAGTCTGAAAACTCATTTCTGCAGTAATTATGTGTGATTCATATGTTGTGAATTGAAAATGTTTTTACTCAATAAATGAAATGTTTCATCACTGATTTTTGCATTCAGTTGATTAAAAGTTCATTGTTTTTTCCCATCGTTTCCTCATGTTGTAAACAACGCCACTGTCCACCTAAATAGAACATGTACGTTTTATCAGCAGTTAGCCGAGGACTGAGTTTCTCAAAGCACTAGGATTATCTTAGTGATTTAGTTTGCTGCGTTCTGAAAGTGACTGCATGGGTCTATAAGCCATGGGAGTGGAGAAATGGAATTTGAAAAGAAAGGTTTTTGGAAAATCACCTTAATGATCCATACATTCAGTTCCATAGAGAACTAACCGCTGTAGGCCAAACACCTGGTTTACTAACCAGTAAAATTGCTATGCAAGAAGACTGAAGACCTTGCAAATTAGTATAGTGATTATAACCCATATTAAACGTCTCTCTTGCCTATATGTTGACTATCTCTGCTTGGAAGGAAAGTAGTTTCAACCCTGTCACATTCTCTGACTCTAGATGGCAGTGTTTCTTTATTTCTAGTGTATGTGTGGTTGTTGAAATGCACTTGTATGAACAGTGATCTGGACAGATGGTCACTGTAAAACTCTCCACTCTATTGTTATGAAATGATCTAGAATAAGACTTTTAAATGAAGAGAGAGGTCAGTGACAAAACATTTTAGCAATACTAAATAAAAAAATTTAAAAAAGGTCAATTAAATGACAGGAAATGCTTTGTGGCAAAGGAACGTTTGCCAGGTTGCGTGCAGTGGTACAGTCCTGGATTCAGTCCAGTGTGATGACTTTGATGACGACACATCCGTTTCACGATTGGCCAGATTCACCGCATGACAACTACCACGTGTGTTTCGGGTTTATTCTAACCTTTTCAATTCCAATAATAGCCACAAATCTGTGTTTTTAGAACAATAAAAGCTTTTTTACTGTAGTCGCAATGTTATATTGAGTCACGTTTATCATAAAACACTGATGAAAGCATACATTCCCCCACTTTATTAGTATTTAAATAGTATATATTTACGTTGAACTTTATTCTTGAACAGATGGCGATGTATTAAGACGTATATAATCAGTATATATCTGTTGCTCATGAAAACGTTTCTGAAACGTCTGTATATTTGACAAATAATTGCATTTAATTCACTTCATCTGTGATAGAGTATGCAAACACCGCGCGAGCATCACTAACGGGAGCAGAAAGTGTCCGGCTTGACACCTCCGTTTTCAACTCCGCCCCTGACTGCAAGCGGCTACTCTCGTTGACTGCCGTCTGTAGCCGTGCTTCGAGTCGAATGCACCTGATATTACAACTGGTGTGACATCATTGGGTCACATGACCAGGAAGTTATATAGATTTGAATAATTGAAAAATTCACCAAAACTGCACAATTATATTTCCAAAATCCATGTATGATGTGAAGTGTTTCTGAATATATTACAGGTGCCATAGCAACGCCTGTTTCTACCAGTTAAAATAAATCGTTTGGAGTACAATGTAATAACAATGTAACAATTCATAGTGAATATCGCATTCACAGCTTAAAATGATGTATTGTTTTTTTCACTTAATTCACATCTTTATATTTTATTTGCATGATGCATTGCATGTTTCAATCTTGGAATGCATATCTTTTTTTTTTTAATTATTTTTATGCACTTTTGATACAGTCCCTTAATTTGCTCAGTGAATGTCTAACGAACGTCCAACATAAAACCAACATTACCGCACCTGGTTATGTATACATGAAACCATGTGCATTTATACCATATGTTTAAAACGTCTATTGCTGTTTGCACTATTGGATGCTGATTTGATGCCTCTCATGACAATAAAGTGTAATCAATCTAATCTAGATAATGTGAAGGTGTGTTTTGGAAATATGTTCATCAAATTCCCTCAAGAGAGTACCAGATCCATGATCCTTAAAGGTGAGTGTGCCGCCTTCAGCCATATTTTGTCCAAATAATACATTTAGACTAGTCTCTGTGTTTTCTTGGCCTCTTGCTGTTATATTGTTCCCAACAGACCATGAGCAGCTTGACAAGGAAATAACTGACCTCCGCAAACGATTAAAAACAAAAATAAATCGTCTCAATGACTTGCAAGGTAGAGCTGCTTTATCTGCCTGATTCATTCATAATTTGTCACATATAAAATATCATCTTTAAGTCCGTGTGTAGTAAATATCTATAGCCCCTAATTACCCTATATTTACTGGCAGTGTCATACAATGTTAGTAGATATCAGTGCATCTAATCTTTTCTGCTTCGAATTGTTTCTTGCACAGGTAAGCCTGAACTCAGAGGATACAACCTTTCTCCTCTGAGCAGTGATGAGATTAAAGCAATTAACAACCTCCTTAAGAAATAATATCCACTAGCTTCTCGGACTGTCTTGAACCTGAGGGTAATGTTTGGACTGGACTGTTACCTGTGCGTCGGAGCACTGAAGTGTCTGCAAACCGCCTGTGACTTTACTAACTCAGCAGAAGAACTTTTTTCAGTTGACTTTTGGTGACTAGCTCACACAATGTGTCTTTTCATCATTCAGTGCTTTTACATGGCATTTGTTTAAAAGTCTTGCCTGCGTTTTGTGGTGTGAGAAACACAATTGTTGAAGAGAGTAAGCCAAAAATAATGCTAAAATGCTTGGGTGGGTATTAACACAACATGTAGCTTGTATGTTGTTACTTTCACAGGTTCTGTTATTAATGGCAAGCAAACACAATTGTTGAACTTTCGAATTCAATGAAGTGTCCGTCAAAGTCTGAAAACTCATTTCTGCAGTAATTATGTGTGATTCATATGTTGTGAATTGAAAATGTTTTTACTCAATAAATGAAATGTTTCATCACTGATTTTTGCATTCAGTTGATTAAAAGTTCATTGTTTTTTCCCATCGTTTCCTCATGTTGTAAACAACGCCACTGTCCACCTAAATAGAACATGTACGTTTTATCAGCAGTTAGCCGAGGACTGAGTTTCTCAAAGCACTAGGATTATCTTAGTGATTTAGTTTGCTGCGTTCTGAAAGTGACTGCATGGGTCTATAAGCCATGGGAGTGGAGAAATGGAATTTGAAAAGAAAGGTTTTTGGAAAATCACCTTAATGATCCATACATTCAGTTCCATAGAGAACTAACCGCTGTAGGCCAAACACCTGGTTTACTAACCAGTAAAATTGCTATGCAAGAAGACTGAAGACCTTGCAAATTAGTATAGTGATTATAACACATATTAAACGTCTCTCTTGCCTATATGCTGACTATCTGCTTGGAAGGAAAGTAGTTTCAACCCTGTCACATTCTCTGACTCTAGATGGCAGTGTTTCTTTATTTCTAGTGTATGTGTGGTTGTTGAAATGCACTTGTATGAACAGTGATCTGGACAGATGGTCACTGTAAAACTCTCCACTCTATTGTTATGAAATGATCTAGAATAAGACTTTTAAATGAAGAGAGAGGTCAGTGACAAAACATTTTAGCAATACTAAATAAAAAAATTTAAAAAAGGTCAATTAAATGACAGGAAATGCTTTGTGGCAAAGGAACGTTTGCCAGGTTGCGTGCAGTGGTACAGTCCTGGATTCAGTCCAGTGTGATGAATTTATGAGTCAGATGAGGTGGGAAGCAGAAGTCTGTTCTCAGTTATATAATCTGCAAACAAGTCATTCCACTAGAGGAGAACGACATTTGAAAACACATTCAACAGGTTCATAACATGCAGTTATGCAAAGCCTGCCTAATGTTAAGTGCAGAAATGCTGCTGTGATGTTTAACGATAGCAATTTGTTCTTATGACCGGTGTGAGGTTGTTGTGACACAGAGGCCATTACACTCCCATTAAAACAAAGGAAGGCCGAGAGCAAATCATCTCTCGTGTGTACAGTCATAATGATCAAATAGCATCGAGTTTGCACAGAGATGAGTCAAAACTGAGACTGTCTGTTCCTGCATTATTTGTGCCCCAATTTTACAAACATATAATTTAAACACTGCATTTGCCAAAGGGGAACTTTGAATAGAAGCTCGCAACAATTTACTGTCTGTATGCCCATGACTCAACATCTAAAGACCCAAATACTGAATAGTTTGAAGAAAATGTTCAGCTTTCTACAAAGTGCTTCTTAATACATTAAATGATACGGCTGTCTCATAGTAAATGTTTTGGAGAGTTGCAGGAATATTGTTGCTTTTGGCTTTTGAATTATGCAGTAACTTGCATTCGTATTTTCCTAGTGAGAGCAGGAGCAGACTGTAATCATCAGTTCTGTCAAAATTTTGACAAGTAAATTACAAATCAATTCAGCATCTTCCATACAGCTTACTTTGGACTTGTCTGTTGCCTTTCTTTAGTGGTTAAGAGCTAGACATCTCCCTTAGGGGTGTTCGATTCCAGGTTTTTCGGAGTCGACTCCGACTCCCGACTCCCACCATAGGAGTTGATGGAATCGACTCCTCGACTCCATTTAGCGTGACTGTCCAAATTAGTCCAGTTTAGTGGTGGTGACACTACCTTTAAATGAGCTATCAATGTTGTTAGCTGTTGCCGACACCTAATTTTACAGAGGGAAAACTGAGGGGGAAAAGCCGTGGTGGAATATTATGTCAGGATTAATAAGGTGTTCTTTAATGATGTAGGATCTCTGTCTTCGAACCCACTTACACTATTGAGTCACACATGAAACAATCACATTCCATTGAGACAAACTGAGAAGCACCCTATGCAGCCAGCTGCGGTCGTAAAACTCATGCAGGGTCAGTGAAGTGTCTCAGCAGTCCTGTACTATCTAGCTTATCGTCCCAAGATACTAAAATAAAAAACAGTGCTTAAACCCTAACTCAAACTAGGATACAAACTATCTTTGTTTTACGGGCTTTCAGGGACCAGATGCGTGATACCCATGACCATTTAACACATAAATTGATAATCCCGTCAACAAAAGAGACAATTTTATAGCTCCATGTCCGAGCGAGAAGAATGGCAGACATACACTCGTGACATGGGCATGACCTCAGGACACCTCCCCCTTTCCCCCTGCATTCCAAAAAAGGGACGAGTCCTTTTACTACTTTCAGAAAAGCGCGCGTTTCTCCTGTCACAGACAAAGGGACATGAAACTTACAACAGACAATTTCAACAGATAATCATTTATGCGCATAACAGGGCAACCAGATTCACAAATAATATGTTGTATGTCTTATATATATGCTTGACGTGTTTCATGTAATCGGTGCAACTTTAATCAGTGTTTTATTACCCTTTTTAGGAAATAAGGTTATTAAAATGTGTGTAATATGTGAAGTTTAATCTTGGGAAAAGAGAAGAGAATTTAATTATACTCATTCTGCTACCAGAAAAGGGTATTGTGTTGTTTTATCTTTCACTCTCATCTTACCACTAACCTTCTTTCCTTACAAAAAAAAAAACCGTCTGGTGTCGTATAATTTTAAAGTCAAACCTTGCCAAGATCACGTTACCTCGCTAGGAGCTTACAAATTATCATAATTGTATTGACCTGTGGCCAAGGAAAATACACATAGTCAGATTGTTAAGATACACGGACATTAACGTCTCGCTGGACGACCGTTGATAAGGTGTAAACTATTAAAATTTGAAATCAGTTCTAATCAGGGTGACTTCGAATTTTCAGATTCGAGTCCTCTCAAAACCTGAATGAATTAATAATAATTAATTCCCTAAGAAAAGTAATCAGACATTACAATGAATTCGTCACATTATAATGGTCAGGGGTTAGGGAATTTTAATTTAAACATAGATGGCACTCGTGGAGTTAGAAAAAAAATCTTTATGACCAAGCAGGATTGTAATAAGGATAACGCAAAAGAAAATGCACAATACAGCTGTTTCTGTCAATGGTAAGTTTTAATTTAAATAGTTTGTGATAGCCTACTGTAAACGGTTATTTACAGCAAAACGCTGAATTTCGTTTACTCTTTGCTGATATACTGCACTCAACTACCAGGCAGATTTGAGAATCAGTGAAGACATCAGCGATTTCGGAGTCGACGTACAATGAGAGTCGATTCCAGTGCTGAAGTCGACTCAGAGCTATTCCAGAGTCGAGGAATCGACTCTTTTGGAGTCGACTCCCCATCCCTAATCTCCCTGCTCATCTAATGTGCTCTAGAAATCCTACTGTTATTATTTTATGAAGTATTTAACATTCAGGCCAAACTAAAGAGAACTGTTTCTGAAGAGTCCTTTTTTGTCCCAGTATGACAATGTCCCTGTGTGTAATGTGTTGTCCATTAAAAAATGCAGTTAGACTTTATTTTAAAGTGTCCTTGTTACACTGTAATTATACATATAAACTTTATTTTAAAGTGTCCTTGTTACAGTGTAATTATACATATAAGTACTGAGTAATATTAATTAACTACATGTACTTACTATATGTTTAGGGTAAGGATTTGGTTTGGCTTAGGGTTACTTGCATGTAATTATGCATAATTAATTGTTATTATGGGAGTAAGTACATGTAACGTGTAACAAGGACACCTTAAAATAAAGTGTTACCAAACATGCTTTACTAAGTCTGGTGTTGAAGAACTTGACTGGTGTACACAAAGCCTCACCAAACACCTTTGGGATAAATGGAAACAGTGATGTTGAGCTAGGCCCCATCACCCAAGATCACTGCCTGACCTGACTGATGCTCCAGTCTGAATGAGAGCAAATTCACACAGCCATGTTCCAACATTTAGTGGCAAGCCTTCCCAGAAGAGTGGAAGCGGATGACATTATCCAGCGTACATACCACAAAAACACTGAAGCTATTTTTTTTTTTGTGGTAGTATGAGGAAAAGTAGCAAATTAAAACCACAACTACATGGTTCCCTTAAGATTAATCATAAATCAAAAAAAATTATGAACACCAGACGAGGGTCTGCACCTTCTCAAACAAGAATAGACCACTAGAGTGTTTCTGCTCAAAAGCTTTGCATTTCAGGCTGTTGGCTCATCTTGTGCTGTCATAGTTTTTGGAATGGCAGTATTTAGTTTTAATGTAGATGAAAACTCCACAAAAAATGCAGATTATCAGACAATGACCTCCGTCTTGAATGCATCATAGTTGATCTGAATGTAACTCTTAAATCAAAACTTGGATGACATTTTAATAATATAAATAATGTTCTCAGAATGAAGCCAACCCTTGAGTTATGGTGAAAGAATTAGGTCCTTCACTTTTTCTTCATGCTAGACTGAGAATGAGATGAAAATGAAATTGCATTTCAACATTGGTATGCATCTAATAGGTCTCAAAAATCACAGTTCTGTTTTAATTGTTTCTTTAGCCTGTGTTTGTCTGACTCCAGCAAATTCTCGAGGGACCGCCATCCTGGGACTCATTCCTCTGTGGTTTCTACATGCAAACAAGAGACTTTACAAGTGTTTATGGAATTAATTGAAAAATTATTTCTAGTGTGAAAGCTATTGTCATTCGTCTTATTCTTCTTGAATAATAAGAATGATAACAAGCGATATAATTAAATAACACCAGCCACTGACAGGTGAAGAATGCCACTACGGTCTGCACTGGTTTTTGCAGAAGTTTTGTAGTGTTTCATTAGTTCAAATACTGGCCTGATTTTCCTCAGTGTGAGGGCTAGCGGAATCGTAAGATGAGATGTTTATTGTGGATATGCGAAAGTAAGCCTTGGCTAGACTTTATAAAACACTTAAACACTCTTGCCCCCTGGTTGCCCCTCAGTGGCATTTGTAGCAACTAAAAACCCTTCTTACAAGTTCCATTTTCAAATGCCGTGG